TGTATAAAATAACTGTATGGTGATTAAATTGGGTTTAATCCAGGGAAGCAAGTTTGGTTCGACATTAGAAAAAAAATTTTTTTTTTTTTAAAGATTTTATTTATTTATTTGACAGAGAGAGACATAGTGAGAGAGGGAACACAAGCAGCGAGAAGTGGGAGAGGGAGTAGCAGGCTTCCCGCGGAGCAGGGAGCCCGATGTGGAACTCGATCCTAGGACTCTGGGACCATGACCTGAGCTGAAGGCAATTGCTTAACGACTGAGCCACCCAGGCGCCCCAGAAAAAAAAATTTGTTAATATAACTTACCAATTTAGTAGGTTAAAGGAGAAAAAGTATATGATAATTCAGAAAGAGGCTGGGAAGGCATTCTGTAAATCCAAATAACCATTTATATCAATACTCTTCTTGAACTGGGATTAAAAGGGAATTTTATTTAACCTGATTTATAAAAAATACATAGCAAGAATCATACTGTGAACTGTTAAAAGCATTTCATTTAAAATTAGGAATGAGACAAGGATCCTGGTATCACAGCTTTTATTTAACATTGTATAGGCACTCCTAATCTGTAAATAAATCCAAACACACATAGTAACACTCATGAATGAGGAATTGAATAGAAGAAGCAAATTGTTATTATTTGTAGAAAATACCATTATTAATATAGAAAATTAAAAAAAACTCTAAATTATGAAAATGAATAAGGGAGTTTAGCAGGGTGGCTAGATATAAGAATAATATATGAGAAAATTAAATTTCTATATACTAGCAATAATGAGTTAGAAAATGCAGTTTCAAAAAAGATACAAATAGCTTAAGAAATACAGGGCACCTGGGGACAAATCTAACAAAAAGTGTACAAATTTTATGTGAAAAAAATTCTAAAACTTTATTGAAAGATTTTAAAGAGGTATATAAATGGAAAAACAAGATGTTCATGGATAGGAATACAGAATTTTATAAAAAATGACAATTTTTTCTAATGGTCTCACAAATTTAGTCAAACTTCTATTTGTGGGAAGTGACCAAGTTGAATATACAATTTATAAAGATAAGCAAAGGACTGTGAATAGGTAAGACACTCCTGAAGAGAGAGAACCAGGTAGGGGATTTACTCTGTCAGAGGGCAGAACTTACTGTAGGTATAGCACATACCCTGTTTGGTTTTGGCTCGAGGATGGATAAATTAGTGGAACTGAATGAAAGGAGAGCCCAGAAACAGACTTACACATATATGGAAACCTGATTTATGATGAAGCTGGCATAGTAGATTATTGATGGTAGGACAATTTATTATCCACATGGAAATAAAATGGATCCTTACATGCTACACAGAAATTAATTTCAGATGGTTTAAGGACTTAAATGTGAAATGTAAAACTATAAAGGGTTCAGAAGAGAATATAAGAAAATATCTCAATGACAATATATTAGGGAAGGCTTTCTTCAACAAGAAAAAGGATAAACCATAAAGGAAAAAATTAATTTATTTGATTACATAAAAATAAGAACTTCTAGGGGTGCCTGGCTGGCTCAGTCAGTAGAGCATGTGACTATTGATCTTAGGGCTGTAAATTTGAGCCCCACATTAGGTATAGAGATTACGTAAAAATAAAAAAAAATAAAAACACATTAAAAAGTATAAAAAATATAAAAAATGTATTAAAAAAGTAAGAACTTCTGTTATTCTAAAGACACTATAAATTTATAGAGTTCAGCAGAGGCTTGTTCAAGATAATGAACTTGAATGCCTTGTGCATTTGATTAATGTATTTGATAGTTACACAACTGGAAAATAGTTTAGGAACAAATTACTAGGAAATGCATAGAAAATGAAGGAAACACATAAATGCACCACAAAGATTTCCTTACCACCAATTCAGGGAGGCAAAGGAAAAATAATCATATTGTATGCTACATTGCTCAGCTGTTAGTAACCTTTACATGATTATCTAATAAAAATGGTGATATAATTACATTGAGAGGTTGAGTGAATGAAAGTGTGCCTGTGTTCATGAAAAAGAACTATGTCCTATAATATTTTATGAGATAACTGAAAACTGTGAAACTTTGGATAAGGTTCACAGATTAATTAATCAAACTGTATCAATGTTAATTTCCAGGTTGTGGTAATTGTACTATGGTTATGTAAGATGTTAACATTATGGAAAGCTAGGTAAAGGGTATATGAGGAGTCTGTACTATTTTTGCAACTTTCTATAAGCCTAAGACTAATTCAAAATAAGAAGTTAAAAAAAATCAGTTGAGTTGAGAGTTGTTGGCTCTGGGGAGTAAGAAATGGGAGAGGGTTGTAGGATATTGATTTTCAGTAACCATTTTATAGTAAAACTTGACTATTTTTAAAAAAATATTTTATTTGAACTCAATTTAGGTAACATATACTGTATTATTATTATTTGTGGGGTTTTTTTTTTTTTGATGGTAGCCATCCTAATAGGTATGAGGTGGTTCTTAACTGTAATTTTGATATACATTTCCCTAGTGATCAGTGATGTTGAACATTTTTCCATGTGCTTTTTGGCCATTTGTATATCTTCCTTGAAGAAATGTCTCTTCACTTCCTTTGCTGACTTTTGAATTAGGTTTGTTTTTTTGTTGTTGAGTTTTAAGATTTAATATGTTCTGGATATGAATTCTTATAAGATATATGATTTACAGATGTTTTCTCTCATTTTGGGGCTTGCTTTTTTACTTATTGATATTGTCTTTGATGAGCAACATTTAAAAATTTTCATTAGTCCAGGGATGCCTTGGTGGCTCAGTTGGTTAAGCGTCTGCCTTCGGCTCGGGTCATAATCCCAGGAATCATGATTCCAGAGTCCTGGGATCGAGTCCCGCATCGGGCTCCTTGCTCACTAGGTAGCCTGCTTTTCCCTCTGCTTGCTGCTCCCCCTGCTTGTGCTTTCTCTCTCTCTCTCATTCTGACAAATAAATAAATTAAAAAAAAATCTTTAAATAAAAAAATTTTTTTTCTCATTAAGTCCAATTTGTCTATTACTTTTGTTGCCTTTGTTGATGTCATACCCAAGAAATCATTGCTAAATCCAATGACGTGAGGCTTTTGCTCTATGTTTTCTTCTAAGAATCTTACAGTTTTAGCTCTTACATTTAGGTCTTTGATCCATTTTGACTTAATTTTTATATATGTAAGGGTCTAAATTTGTTCTTTTGCATGTGGATATCCAGTTTTCTCAGTACCAGTTGTTGAAAAGACTGTCCTTTCCCCATCGAATGATCTTGGCTTCCCATCAAAAACCATTTGACTGGATATGTGATGGTTTTATTTCTAGGCTCTCTATTCTATTCCATTGGTCTTTTTATCTGTCTTCATGCCAGTATCTCACTGATTTGCTTACTGTAGCTTTGTAATAAATTTTGAAATCAGGAGGTGTGAATCCTCCAGCTTTGTTCTTCTTTTCTAGATTGATTTGCCTATTTGGGATTCCTTCAGATTCCATATGAATTTTAGGATGGAATTTTTTATTTCTGCAAAAAATGTCACTGGAATTTTGATAAGGTTGTATTGCATCAGTAGATTGCTTTGGGCAGTATTGACAATATATATTAAGTCTTCCAGTCAATGAACATGATACATGTTTCCTTTTATTTATGTCATCTTTGATTTTTTCAGCAGTGTTTTGAGGTTTTCATTGTACAAGTCCTTCACCTCATTGGTGACGTTAATTCCTAAGTATTTAAATCTTTTTGATGCTGTTGTAAGTGGGAATGTTTTTATAATTTTCTTCTCAGATTATTGTTTGTGTATAGAGATGCAATGGATTTTTATGTGTTGACTTTGTATCCTGATCTTAAGGGTTGTCTATATATAAGATCATATCATCTGTGAAAAGAGAAACTGACTTTTTCCTTTCCAGTTTTGATGCTGTTCGTTTATTTTTCCTGTCTAATTGCTCTGGCTCTTTTGGTATTATGCTGAGTAAAAGAAGTGGGCATCCTTGTCTTGTTCCTGATCTTAGAGGAAAAACATTCAGTCTTTTACCATTGAGTATGATGTTTGCTGTGGGTTTTTCCTATATTGCTTTTATTATGTTGAGATACAAAATAGAGTTTTTCTACTCTTGGGTTTTTTATACTTTACAAATTCTTCAAGTAAGGAAAAAAGAAATACAGAGAACTTACTAGATGCATGTGTGCATATTTGTATGTGTACTTGTCATGTATATGTATACTAGATAAACCTAAGTATGTAATTTATATGTCTATATATCAATAAAATGGCTGGATAAATTTACCTAATGAGGCTATTTTTTAGAGACACTTGAAAATTATAGATGGATTGTTGCTTTTTTTTTTTAAGATTTTATTTGAGAGAGAGGGAGATAGCAAGAGGAGCATGGGCAGTGGGGGGGAGCAGCAGAGGGAGAGGGAGAAGCAGGCTTCCTGCTTAACAGGGAGTCTGACACTGGGTTTGATCCCAGGACCCTGGGATCATGACCTCAGCCAAAGGCAGATGGTTAACCAACTGAGCCACCCAGATACCCCTAGATGGATTGTTTCTTAATAAAACTGTATTCCAACTATTTATAGATGTGCGCCTATGGGAAGTATTGGTTGTATGCTTGGTATAATGTTTAAACTGTTGCAGATTGAGGTAAATCAGTTGAAAGGTAAAGAGCAGCAGTATGAGTAGCCATTTGTGTTTTTTTTTTTTTTAAAGATTTTATTTTTTTGACAGAGACACAGCGAGAGAGGGAATACAGGCAGGGGGAGTGGGGAGAGGGAGAAGCAGGCTTCCCACGGAGCAGGGAGCCCGATGCAGGGCTCGATCCCAGGACCCCGAGATCATGACCTGAGCCGAAGGCAGATGCTTAACAACTGAGCCACCCAGGGGCCCCAGCCATTTGTATTTTTAATTTGACACTTTTTTTTGGTTAATTTGATACTTTTTGATAAGAAAATATGTATGTTTATATATTCTAAAAGAGTTTTTTTGTTTTTTTGTTTTTTAAATTTCAGGCAACCTAATGAGGCCTCTTTTGAATTATGGTATTGCTTGGTAAGTATATCTTTTTTACTTTATGCTACTTTTCAGAATAATATTGATTAATGTATGTAAATTCGTTATATTTTTGGTTTATTGTTGCAGTATGTCTATGGGCTTCCTGGTTGAAGAGACTGCACCAGTTGTTTGGAGAGGCCTTATGGTAATGTCAGCTATTGAAAAACTGTTGAGGCAGGTAAGAAAATTGCATTGAGTATCATTTTATTATTGGCACACTATGGTTAATGCATTTGCTGATTGGAGAGTTGTTAAAATTTGCAGTCAGGTTTGAGATGTTTTGTAAAAGAATCCAGCTGATAGACTGAATATATAATGAGTTCTGTGGTGCCAAGACCAATTTCACTGGTCTGTGATTTAATCTTCCCCATTACTTATGAGTACTAAAAATCCTAATGTCTTATTTTATATTGTTCTTTTGCTTTGTTGAGTCTGTAGTGAGATGAAGAAATCTATTTTATAAGTAATCTGCCTTCTTTAAATTTATGGTTAATCTCATTATGGCCAATATTGAATTGTAAGGGCAGTGTAGAAGTTCTTGGATATATAAAAAAATTACATAAATCATGCGCATTTTAAAATTGCTCTAGAACAAAATGAAATTTTATTTTATTTTGAGTACATCTGGCTCTATATTTATGTATGTAATATCTGTCCAATCAACTTAAATTTATCCTTGAGGATGAGGACAGTTGATTGGATAATCTAAAAATATCAGATGAGCTGTATGTTATTTATAGAAATAATTTTAATTTTTTTCTAGGACCTGTGAATTTACAGTTAATTATGTCCTAGGTAAATACCATAAATAATTTGGATTTTTTCCACCATTTACAGCAATTACCCCTTATGTATTCAGATTTCACTTTAGGTCAGGCATCATGCCACAGGTTGATAATTCTAATCATAGATATTTCTATATTCATTTCTTTTTTTTTTTTTTTTTTTTTTTTTTTAAGATTTTATTTATTTATTTGAGACAGAGAGCATGAGAGGGAGGAGGGTCAGAGGGAGAAGCAGACTCCCTGCCGAGCAGGGAGCCCGACGCGGGACTCGATCCCGGGACTCCAGGATCATGACCTGAGCCGAAGGCAGTCGCTCAACCGACTGAGCCACCCAGGCGCCCTCTATATTCATTTCTATTTGCAGGAGTTGGTAGATGAAATATGTCTTGAACTCTGAAACTCTTCTTTTTTTCATTGTCACATCTTGTGTTCCTTCTGCTTGAGTTCTTTTTTTTTTTTTTTTTAATATTTTATTTATTTGACAGAGAGAGACACAGCGAGAGAGGGAACACAAGCAGGGGGAGTGAGAGAGGGAGAAGCAGGCCCCCTACAGAGCAGGGAGCCCGATGCAGGCCTTGATTCCAGGACCCTGGGATCATGACCTGAGCCAAAGGCAGACGCCTAACGACTGAGCCACCCAGGCGCCCCCTTCTGCTTAAGTTCTAATAAATGTGCTCTTTGATCTCTGGTCCCAGCATCCACCTGCTTTCCTAGTGCATTCAAGCCTCTCAGCTGCATTTCCTCCCCTTTTACACTCAGATCTCATAGTTAGCTATTTCAGTTATTCTCCCAACAATACCCCTTCTTTACCGATTCCTTTGTGATCTTGATCTTTATTCTTTATTTGTGTGGATTAATCCAGCCTTTTTTTTTTTTAAAGGAAATTCTAAAACAGTCTTTATTCTGTTTATATTTAAAGTTAGAGTCAATAGAAATTTAGAAACACCAAAAGGAGAATTCTGATTTTGTCATCAGAGTATTTTAAGTACTCATTTTCCCCCTCTGTTAGTGTTGTAATTCTCAACAGAAACTGATTCAGATTTTCTCCTAAGCCTTATGGATGGCCACAAGAAGATGGAAATACTTCTGCTTTCCACAGTGATCAGAGACTTAGAAACCCAAGTCAGTGATATTAGACACAGAGATTTAGCTAAGTGTTGGTGCTCCCCTCTCAGGGATGCAGGATCATGCCTTTAAGTGTCCTTTTTGAGTATTAAGTTCCATTTAAGCCTTAGATTGCAACAAGTGATGAAAACATCTCTGCAAAGGAACCCCTGAATGTGGAATAGAAGAGACCCAGTGTGCACATACCCTCAGGAGAGGGGCAAAGGGAATGTTCCATGGGAGAAGTGAGAGTCAACCTGACAATGCAAATTAATTAGGCTGCAAAAAATTGCACCTGAAATTCAAACTTAGATTTAGTAACTGCTTTTGTAAATGAAGAAAACTTTATGAGACCAGAGGTGAAAGATCAAGTCTGAAGGAACCAGAATACATTGTTTTTTCATTCTGTGAGGAATTGGGGAAGAGAAGAGGGGCAGGATCCCATTTCATATTCTCAGTCAATATCCCTCCATAACCCTGCCTCTTTTATCTACTGCTGAATACTGTCAGAGAATATAGAATACTTGTGTTAATTGCTGGCATTACACATTTTTGATTTCTGAATTCAGCTACACTCTCATCACTTCAGTCATCTGACATTATTCATGTTCTTCTCAGCATTCATCAGATGCTAAGTTTAAAAAATATTTATGGAATTTGGTAGTCTGGTTGAGAAACTAGTGGAGATTTGGAGATTTGGCTCTCTGACACATAAATCATATAAAAGTCAGTTTACTTTGATAAGTGCTGACAGTACATTTTTAGCAAACATGCTACAAAATATCAGGATGAAAGATGGGGTGAGAAAATGGCTCCATAACTTATTGGGATACTCTAGGTATCCTCTAAGGCCTCTAAGATATTAGGACATTAGACTACATATTTACCTTACAGTCTTTTGAAAAGTTACCGTTATCATTTGTGCATTTTAATTGGAGCTGAAAAGCTCATGTTTTTGGACTAAGCTGTGACCTGTACTGATCATGTCAACTGCTATTGCTTTAGAAAGCAGACCAGTTTTTGGTAAGTTTAACATCCTTTGTGAAAATTTAGTAGCTGGATAGATGCTCTGTACAGCAGTGGGTTGTGGAGGCTACCTGATTCATTGGCTGATGAAAAAAATTGAATTATATATATATGTATATATATATATGACTGTACAGTGTACAAATCATAAGTGTACAGATAGATGGATAATCCCAAAGTGAAAATACCTATATAATTTTTCAGGACATGATAAATAGAATGCTAGTGTTCCAGAAGTTTCTTTCATGTCTCTTCCTATAGAATACTATATTTCCAGAAGTTTCTTTCATGTCTCTTCCTAGTTGCTGTTTTTGGGGGGAGAAGATAAATACTTGTGGTCAGTCTGCCATCTGAACTGAAAGTCTGGTTTAAAGTTCTTTTCCCCCTCTCTCTTATGATATATATATATATTTTTAAGATTTTATTTATTTATTTGACAGAGAGAGAGACAGTGAGAGCGGGAGCACAAGCAGGAGGAGTAGGAGAGGGAGTAGCAGGCTCCCCCACAAGCAGGGAGCCCGATGTGGGGCTCGATCCCAGGATGCTGGGATCATGACCTGAGCCGAAGGCAGACGCCTAACAACTGAGCCACCAGGCACCCTCTTACGATATTTTATTGAGTTAAAGTTATACTTACTATGGGATGCAGAGATCTTACATGTATGGTTCAGTAATTTTTGATAAATGTATATACCTGTATAATCACACCTCAATCAAGATAGAGAACATTTCCATCCCCCTACAACATTTCCCTGGGCTTCCTTCTCTTCACTCCCCTGCTGTTAGGCCATCACAGTTGTGATTTCTAGTGTCATAAATGAGTTCTGTTTTGTCCTTATACTTCATATAAATGGAACCCTACAGACTGTATAGCCTTTTGTATCTGGTTTCTTTCTCTTAGCTTAATGCTTTTGAACATCATCCTGTTGTTGCCTATATCAGTAGTTGAGTCCTTTTTATTGCTGAATTGTATTCCATCACATGAATGTAATCAAATACTGTTTGTTCTTCTGTTGATGGACATTTGGGTAGACACCAGTTTTTGGCTATTATGAATAATGCTTCTATAAATACTTGTACAAGTTTCCTAAGGGTTTCGGTTGCTTTACATCTTGTCAGTATTTGGTGTTGCCAGTCTCTTCACTAGTGGCTATAAAATGGTATCTTCTTAGTGTTTTAGTTCGTGCTTCTCTGATGATTAATGATGTTTAGCCCCTTTTCATGTGCATATTAGATATCATTGTATCTTCCTTTATGATGAAGTGTCTGTTCAAGTCTTTTACTCATTTTTTTTATTGGCTCAGTTTTCTTCTTGTAATTGAGTTGCAAGAGTTTTAATATATTGTGGCTGTGAGTCCATTGTCAGATATATGTATTGGGAATATTTCTCCCAGTCTGTGGCTTGCCTTTTGATTAACTGATGTTTTAAATTTTCATGAAATCCCAATTTATCAAAAAAAAATTTTTTTTTAATGCTGAATGCTTTTTGTGTCCTAAGAAATCTTTGCCTATTTACCCCAAGGTTATAAAGATACATATTTTTTCTCAAAGCTTTATAGCTTTGGCTTGCACATCATGATTTAAATTTTGTGTGGGAAATGAGATAAGGGTTTATATTTTTTCACAGTCGTGGTATAATAGCAAATATATTTGTTCTTTGTCCTTCGGTCCTGGTACAAAGCTCCTAAGACCCTTGGAATTTTCTGATGATAGGAGTATCTTTTGTAACTCACGAGGAGCCCCTTTTTGAGCACACCTGAATTCATGTTAGTAAGGTGACTTAGGTTAGGGTCCCTGGATAGTCTCAGGATAGGGCTGATCACCAGAAAGACCAATTGTTTAGAGGGTTAGGACTTTCAGCCCCACCCACTGACCTCTGGGAAGGGGAAGGGGAAGGAGGGTGGGTTGCAGATTAAGCTCTGTGAAAACTCTTGATGAGCTTCTGGGTTGGTGAGTGTATCCACATCCTGGTGGGTTGTGTAAACCTAGTTTCGTAGGGACAGAAGCTCCTATGCTAAGGGCCTTTTTGGACCTTTCCCTTTGTATCTCTTCATCTGGCTATTTATCTGTATCCTTTCTAATACCCTTTATGATAAACTAGTAAACATAAGTAAATGTTTGTCTGAGTTCTGTGAGCCACTCTAGCAAATTAATCAAACCTGAAGGAGGGGGTCATGGAAACCTCTGATTTATAGCTGGTCAGTCCAGATGCACAGGTAACAACCTGAACTTGTGATTGGTATCTGAAGTGGGAGTAGTCTAG